GTTCAGAGCCGCCGTGCTTGTTATCTAATTGAACATTCAAAGTACATATGAGGTAATTTCTTTCTCCTTTTGTAAGTGTTACGCTTAGAGAGAAAGCCCGGTTACAATAAAAGCCTTTCCACGCTATTTTCCCCCCTCTCCTGAGAAGTCGGTGTGGTGGGGAAAGGGGGGAAAAAAACCAGCACTCGCCTGAGGAAAACCCTTGCTCCGCCTCACAGCCGAGGCTGAGGGAACACCTCCAACCGCCACAGTCCCAGCTCGGGGGCCCGACCCGAGCGCACCGCAGCCGGTTGGCACGTCCACAGCAAGGCAGCACCCAGTGTCTTCGGTGCCAATGGTGAACGCTTGATGTGCTTTCTCACAGGAGCTTTCGACAGGTCTTGGCTCAGATGCAACAGCATCATCCTTTTTTCTTCGAGCATCTCTTCATCCAAGCTGAACTGCTGGGTGCTGGTGACTGTGGTAATGCCATTATTAGGCACCAGAGTTAACGGTCCGTTAAGAAGCTGTGGTTGTGTACATCATGCGTGACATACACAGATATTATTAAATTTGCAAAGGTAAGCACACAAACACTAGGAAGCATTGGAATTCAGGCTGCCCGTACACCCCTGAGCCTTTTCACCCAACAGAGCAGCCGGCAGAGTAACAGGGAGTTATCCTTTATTTTCACTGGTACCAAAGGGGAATAACACACACATTTTGCCAGTGACTTTCAGACGTGCACTGACAAGAGTACCTTCATCACGACATACCCACATTCCTTGTGCATCGAGAGCCTGCAAAGGCCCTATGTACCTCCAAGTTTTGCTTTCAAGCAAAATCTTAACTACAGCCTTAACTCTTGCTCCAGCTACACGCGAGCACAATACTGTTGTTAGAGGCAGTAAAGTAAAGCCCAAGTTTTAATAGCTCAGCCACTTCACATCAAATGACATTCTGCTTTGTAGCAGCAGAGCCACCCTATCCTGAGAGAGGGAGACAAACTCCACTTTTAAAAATACATTAAATTATTCAGCCAGCCAAAGACACTGAAGTTAATAGACAGCTATCTCCCCAGCGCTACAAATTTTAGCCAATTAGTCATTACGCCACATCTGTGAAGTGGGTTAATTTAATTCTTCTCATTTTGCATAAGAAGGAGGAAGAAAGGTTAGGGGACTGGCCCAAGGCCACAAAGAGCACTCAGAGCTGAGCCTAGAAAGCAAACTTCTTGTTTCCCACGCCTACGTTTCAACAACTAGACTTGGCTTGCCTACATCAGAAAATAGACTGGCATAGCTATAGCTGTGTAATTATACCATAACAGTTTATGCCGGAATAACTCTCCTTGCGGACATTCTCCTCCAGATGGAACGTGACTTCCCAAAAGCTGTCCAAATGAATTCACTCAACAGCACACACTTTGGGTTTTGCCTTCCCCCCCCACCCTTCATTTTAGGGGGTCAAAATTCCTGGGATGTGGGTCTCAGCAGCATTTTGAAGCCCTTGATCACTTTTACAGGCCATT